CATGAGGAGCCTGTGGGGATTGTGGGTGACGCGGCGGACCCCTCCCAGCCCGCGTGCAGCTGCAGGCTCTGCAGACTGACGTCTATACCCGCGGTGTTCAGAGATGGCCCTTCCCCAGAGGTCAGGCAGCCGGCCCAGGGCCACAACATCGCTCCTACAGCCCAGGAAAAGGCTACCCCTTCAGATGTTGCACAGGACCACCCTTGCTCAAGCTCTGATTCTCCACAAAGAGCATCCGAAAAATGCAGCCCAAGTCCAGGTGCAGACTGGTCCTGAGGTGGGCAGATCTCGGGCAAGGACTTCACCACCCGGGGCCTCGGTTTCCTCGTCTACAAGGTGGACGTGTGAGGACGGGGAGTCCTCCAGACATGCCCTGAGCAGCTGTTGTCACCGCTGTGCCCACAGTGCTTGGCTCCCGGACAACGAGGCGCTAACCCACAACAGGAGACAGTAGCAGTGCGGGGGCAGGCTGCGCCCAGAGCCCTCCCACCCTGCAAGTAGCAAATCTCCTGCTGCCTTAGGGTGGCAGATGCTCACGTGGACCAAGGGGGCTGTGCGATGGCTTTCCAATCACTGGCTGGAAGGGTCCCCTCTGGAGGGAGCAGTGCCCCCACCCCAAGCTGTGGGCCTTTGTGGGGCAAGATGGAGCAGCCTAACACTGTCCTAGGCAGTTTCCAGTCTCAGTACCACACTGCCAGCCTGTGCCTGCACTTTCTTTCTCTGGGGCTCAGGTTCCCCATGTGAAGAGCAGAAGGTAGCCTGGAGGAGGTGCTGTGGCCTGGAGGCTTCTCCTCACCCAGCCTAGTCATGTGCGTGGTCTCAGCCCTGTTCTCCCTCTGTCAGGGGGGTGGGCTGTGTACGTGGACCCCCAGACAAACCGACAGCATGAGCTTCCTTCTATCCATGGGCCAGTGGAGCTACACCCAGGTCCCCACACTCTGGGCCCTGAGCACCCAGAGCCAGCACAGATCACGTGCTCCCTACTCCTGAAGGATGTGGAATCCTGCCTGCAGAGACGCCACCAGTCCTGAGCCTACTGGATGTGACCCAGGGTCGGGGGAGTCTTGGCTCCCTTCACAGACCACCCCATCCACCATGGGACCATGTCCAGAGCTAAACCCGCCCCTCAGCTGCAGTCAGCGGGTTTGAGGCGCATATCCCAAGCTGGGAAGAGCTCCGTTATTTTCAGCAGAAATGCAATGCAAGCCGCTGGGCAGCCCTGGACAGCCCTGAAGGCTGGGAGCTGGGCGGCCAGACCAGGACCACCCACCCACCTGCTGATGTGGTGTGTGGGGGGAGGAGCAGGGTTTCTCAGTGAGTCGTTCACATGTGGCTTCAGGTGTACGTTTTGTGGGCTATAAAAGTTAACATATGTTGATCAGAAAGTAGGAAGCAGAATTAGAGAAAGGAAGTCACCTGTGACCACAGCTAAAACTTGGGGTGTTTTCCTTTCCATCTCTGTTCCTGGGTACACACCTCCCAGACATGGGTACAGATGTGGTGAATGATCTTTGCCTTCAACAAAAAAGGAGAGACTGCAAGTCGGTATGGTGACAGCTGTGTAACATGCCCCGGAAACATGCTCACCAAGAGCTGGTGAGAGTAGTTACTGAAGGAGGCTAGTTTGGAGTCGACTTTTTCCAAAATACGCTTTTCCGTAGAGCTTGATTCCTCTGAACCAGGTAAAAGTGTTTTACTGTTTGAAAAGCAAACCAACAAGGAATCATACGGATGCCAAACCAGAAGGGTGGTTTCCACTGGGTGCTAGTGGCAAACCCTCTAGACCTGCACAGACAGAGCACTGAGGAGCAAGGGCCGGAGCATTGTGCAGCCAACCCCGAGGGCAACCAAGAGGCACACGTAGGTCTGCCAGGCCTGTCCTAATTCTGCCTGCAAGGTGGATCTCCTGGGACACCCAGGGGCCTGCACAACCTGCCCTGCAGTCCAAGAGTGGCTTTTGTCATAGGGAAGAAGGGCAGATCTAGGTAGAGAACCACAGCGCTGCTCTGGCCTGTCCCCCAAGGGCCTCTCCATCACCTCTGGTCAACACACCAGGAGGCAGAGATGTCACAGGAACCAGAGAGACAGCAAGAGTTGTCCATTGGTCCATGCCAAATGTCCCTGAGAACAGAAAATAGAGCCCCAACACAAGACCCCATCCCACTGCTACCTGCTCACGGCCCCTACCCTGATTAATGGAGAATCAGAAAGCTGATGTGGGACAGGGTTCAGGGGTGTGACCCCGTGCCCAGACTGTGGCCTCTGCACACCCTCAGCTCAGACACTGGACTCCAGCCGTCCAACCCAGGGCTCCAATGGAGACAACTCTATCCCCAGACCTGTTGACACATCCTGAGTCAGGCCACACCTAGGGGCTCTTTCTCAGCTGACAATATCGCCACCACATTACAGAGTGCCTGCTCTGCCCACAGCACTTAACAGAAGTGGCCGGTGACCCTCCCAGCTGCCCCAGAGGCAGGGATCTGTCTCATTGTCCCTCAGGGGCAGACACAGAAAAGCAGCAGTACATGGGGCTGAGAGTGGGGGAGTCTGGCACCTGCCTGGGACATGGTGGGTGGGAGGTCTGCCTGGGGAACAGGGTGGGAGGAGGCCTTCCCAGGGCACAGAGGGCGGGGGGCCTACTGGGGTGTGGGGGGTGGGGAGGACCACCTCAGGACAAAGGAGGACTTGAGGGACACTGGCACTCTGCATGGTCCCACCTCCTGACGGGTCTACACTTGACATTTGGTTGTTTATGCTCCCAGGGTGGCAGCTTATGTCCACATGGAGGCCAAGACAGACTCCTGAGGGCCTGGCAGAGATCTGAGACTGGGCAGGCCAAAGCCATGACACTCACGGCGCTGGGCCTCAGAGTCCCTATCTGTGCAGTGGGGACAAGCAGGCTCCAAACAGCGCTGGCCAAGTCCTCGATCGCTGCACGCTAGCCATCGTGAGTTATCTGAACTCTGGGGGAAAACCACTACACTTCAGCAAGAAATGAGGCCAAACAAGCAGGCCGATCTAGAAGTCATGACTTGCCCAGAAGCCCCGTACTTTCCAAGGCAGCAGCCCTCTCCCTGGCTCAGAAGGGCAGAGAAAGGCACACGGAGCGGCCCCAGGGTGATGCGTCTGTGTGAATGCCAAGCAGAAGGGAGGCTCAGTCTCGTCTGGTCTGAGCCTGCAGAAGTCCCCTAAACCCAAAGCTGTATTTTGTGTCCCCTGATACAGGAGAGGTACAGCCAGAGCCACCGCAGGCAGTGAGTGGACCAGGCTCATTTCGCCAGGGCCCGTGAGTGACCTTGGGCGCAGCCGCCCTGAACTTCGGTTTCTCCTCTCACTAGTTCACTCCACAACCATGTCTGGGGCACTAGGACCCCACAGGACACACACACAGACAAGATGCCAGAGCTACTAGTTCTGGTGGGGAGAGCACCTGTTTTGAGTGAGCAAATTACAAGACAGCATGGGAGAGAATGGGAACTGACAGGAAAGAAAGTATATAAAATAACATGGGGAGAAGGACCTGTGGGGGGAAAGGGATGCTGCGTCAGGCCCGAGAGGCTCTCTGAGAGACATCCGTGCTGAGACAGGAAGGTACCAAGTGACCAAGGCAGAGGGAACAGCAAGTATGGAGGCCCTGAGGCATAACCTGAAAGAGGCTGACGGGCTGGTGCCAGAGTCCAGCTGTCAGAGCAGCTGATGGAGCATAGAACCTTGGAGGCTGCAGTTAGGGTTCTTTTTCCCTCCACCTGACAGAGTGGTTACATCTGGAAGGCAGGTGGTGTATCCACTCTTAGAGGCTGCAGGGCAAGACCTGGCTTGTACAAAGGTGGAAAACTCGGCCCTGGGGCCACCCCTCCCCAATAAAGAGCCAAGGCAGGTGCCCCCATACGCCACCAAAGCGCGTCAGCTGAGGACCCCTCGGCCCAGGAGCCATCTCAGGCTTTCCAGATGTGCACAACAGAGGATCCTGGAGCTGTGTGTTAGCACAAGCTCGGACGCAGGTGCCCCACCCTTGTGCACCCATGTGCCCAGACAGAAAGCAGCAAACCTGTCCCTGGGCCACCTCCCCCTGGCTGCAAGCGCCTGACCCTGAGGCTCTCTACAGACCAGGCACCCCCCGCCCCCTGGAGAGAGCTCACTGCAGGGATCTGCAGTATGGGGACTTCCCCTCTCCTAGAGCTCAGCCTCTGAGACTGGGGAATCCTAGGTCGCTGGCCTCCAAGCCCCAGGGAAAGGGAAGGGGAGCTGCTAACTGAGCAGTCCCTGGGACCCCAAACCCAGCAGATGCGGGTCCCCCAAAGTAAGTGCTGCATGGGGCCCCTGGAGGGTGGAGGGGTAGGCTGGCTGGCTGAGGCTCACAGGGTTCTGGGGCCTGCCAGTTCTAGGAGACAGCAGCTACCCAACCAGTCCACTTGCCACCTCTGACAGCATTCATTTCCTTCTCCACTCACTTGGGTTCAGGCAAGAAGGGAAGTATTTGCTCAACAAATACAGTCCATGTCAAGTCAACCAGACAAGCAGTATTTTTTTGGCATCCTATTAACCACGCAGCAAACAGTGGTCCCAGAGAGGGAGCTAAAATATGACCGTCCCTCTCCCCATCTGAACAGAGACCTCAGACGGGAGGAGAGGAACAGGAAGAATCCCCTAAGTATCCATTTTATCACCTTCACCTCCAAGCCCAGCAGTGTCCACCTCCCTAGCACATCCCGAACTAAACAGAGTGATATCTTGGCAACAGAAACACAACTGAAAAAAAGGCCGACTGAGTAGCTAGACAGACCCATTGCGGACAGTGCAATTTAGAGATTTTTAAGTCACAGCCTCAAGACACAAACATCCCTGCACCAACCGCAGGCTCCAGGGTCCTTCAAGAGCAACCCGGAAGACACGCGGGGCCCACGCAGCCCGCGGAGCCCTGGGGGGTGGGTGTCCCGATGGCCCGGGGGAGCCCCGCTCGCGACTCTGGCCGCAGCGTGCTCGCGGGGCCCACCTACCTCCAAGGCCTCCAGCGTGCTGAAGCTGGCGATGGCGAAG